GTATGCTGTAGTAGTTTTGGAAAGTTTTTCTTTTGCTGTGTAATGTTTGAGATAGTTTTTGGATACTGCCACACATTCACCACAACCAGTTATTGAACTTGTGCTAAAAGGGAAACTGATAAAGCTGGTAGTATATAAAGCCCAGTGGATCCCTGTAAGTGATAGTGACATATAAAAATAAATTAGTCTTTCACCCCCCAAGCAAACATGCTAGATATGCACTATTTAAACAAATCTCTTTCTCTTTGGTATCACCTTTTTGGTCATCAGCACATCCTACAGCTATTTTCCTCCAAAGCTCTGTGATACGGTGACCTTTATGTGGACGTAAAGGTCAGCTTGAATACACCACAAAAGGTTGGTCAGGTTTCCCAGAGAGCGGGAGAGCCTGTCATAAACAGCCTTTACGACTGCAAATACCAGATAAGTTATCACTTGTGACGGCTTTACGTTTCAAAGCCCTGAAATATGGTGGATGCGTCAACCTCTTTTAACTGACGCCCTCATCAGTCAGCCTAATGATCGTAACGTTTTGGGGAATTGTGACATTTTAAGAAAAACTCATTTAATGTTTTATCACATTTTCCCATTCTTCTGCAAAGGCAGAAGATAGTTTACCAACTTTGTAAAAAAAAATGGTGAACTAATTTAAAAAATGTTTGATGAAAAGCTGTGTTTTTCTGTATTTTTACGCAAGTCTTTTAAAATGTGGTTACAATCTGTGACACGGTAGAGAAATTTAACTGCTGATTTGTTAAATTTGAGAAGCAGAACACAAACAACTCAATCAAGTCAATCCAAAAATGTTAAATGCAGACTGTACACACTCACTGACCTTGCATCTAGTACTGGGTTAGAGCCCCATTGTAGACTTCAGAACTGCCTCAGTTCTTTGTGGCACAGATTCAAGAAAGTTCTGGATCATTCCCCAAAGATTTTGGTCCATATTGACACAATAGCATCACGCAGTTGAAGAAGATTTGGACATCCCAAAAGGTGCTCTTTTTTTTTTTTTACAATCTAAGCATAGTGAACTCATTTTTGTGTTCAAGAAACCAGTTTGAGATGATTTGAGTTTTGTGACACGGTGCGCTATCCTACTGGAAGCAGGCATCAGAAGATGGTACACTGCAGTCATAAAGGGGGATGGACATGATCAGCAACAATACTCAGGTAGTCTGTGGTGTTTAGACTTTGGTCAGTTGGTACTGAGGAGCTCAGAGTTTGCCAAGGAATTATCCCCAACACCATTACACCACCAGCCTGAATCACTGATTCAAGGGGCACTAACTCCACTGGAGTGGCTCTAGCTCAGGAGGTAGCGCAGATCACCTGCTAATCGGAAGGTTGATGGTTCAATTTGTCTGCATGCCCAATATACTTGGGCAAGATACTAACACCAAGTTGCTCTTCGATGCATCGATTAGAGTATGAATGAGTATAGGTGTTATATAGAAAGAGCTTAGAAGAAAAGTGCTTGTGTGAACGGTGTAAAGCGCTTTGAGTGCTCAGAAAGCGTAGAAAAGCACTATACAGTGGCTTGCAAAAGTATTCGGCCCCCTTGAACTTTTCTACATTTTGTCACATTACAGCCACAAACATGAATCAATTTTATTGGAATTCCATGTGAAAGACCAACACAAAGTGGTGCACACGTGAGAAGTGGAACGAAAATCATACATGATTCCAAATATTTTTTTACAATTAAATAACTGCAAAGTGGGGTGTGCGTAATTATTCAGCCCCCTGAGTCACTACTTATTAGAACCACCTTTTGCTGCAGTTACAGCTGCCAGTCTTTTAGGGTATGTCTCTACCAGCTTTGCACATCTACAGACTGAAATCCTTTCCCATTCTTCTTTGCAAAACAGCTCCAGCTCAGTCAGATTAGATGGACAGCGTTTGTGAACAGCAGTTTTCAGATCTTGCGACAGATTCTCGATTGGATTTAGACACCAGACAGGTCAGGGATAAATTTATTGAGAAATTTAAAGCAGGCTTGGGCTACAAAAAGATTTCCCAAGCCTTGAACATCCCACGGAGCACTGTTCAAGCGATCATTCAGAAATGGAAGGAGTATGGCACAACTGTAAACCTACCAAGACAAGGCCGTCCACCTAAACTCACAGGCCGAACAAGGAGAGCTCTGATCAGAAATGCAGCCAAGAGGCCCATGGTGACTCTGGATGAGCCGCAGAGATCTATAGCTCAGGTGGGGGAATCTGTCCATAGGACAACTGTTAGTCGTGCACTGCACAAAGTTGGCCTTTGTGGAAGAGTGGCAAGAAGAAAGCCATTGTTAACAGAAAACCATAAGAAGTCCCGTTTGCAGTTTGCCACAAGCCATGTGGGGGACACAGCAAACATGTGGAAGAAGGTGCTCTGGTCAGATGAGACCAAAATTGAACTTTTTGGCCAAAATGCAAAACGCTATGTGTGGCGGAAAACTGCACATCACTCTGAACACACCATCCCCACTGTCAAATATGGTGGTGGCAGCATCATGCTCTGGGGGTGCTTCTCTTCAGCAGGGACAGGGAAGCTGGTCAAAGTTGATGGGAGGATGGATGGAGCCAAATACAGGGCGATCTTGGAAGAAAACCTCTTGGAGTCTGCGAAAGACTTGAGACTGGGGCGGAGGTTCACCTTGCAGCAGGACAACGACCCTAAACATGAAGCCAGGGCAACAATCACCTTTCTTCCCCATTCTAGTGCTCAGTTTGAACTTCAGCAGGTACTCTAGATCATGTCTACATGCCTGAATGCTTTGGCTTGCTGCCATGTGTCTTGCTGGTTAATTATTTGCATTAACAAGCAGCTGAACAGGTCTACCTAACAAATTGGCCAGCGAGTGTATAGTGTGCTAGATTTAGCTTAAAGGCCATTTTCATCTGCACCCCCTGAGCGACAGCTTCTAATGATTCACAGCTTACTAAGAAAAACAGATAACTACTGTGGTAAATTAGAACCTGGCATTTAAAAGCACAAACACAATAAAACACTTCACAAAAAAGCACAACATTAAACAAAATAACAAAACTAGAAGACAAAACAAACCCCCCCACGCACAAAAAAACAATGGTCCTTTCTATCATCAGCAAAGCAAAAAAAAAAAAAGGAAATTAAACATTTTATCAATGCCAGAAAGTGCTGATGCTGGCCTAAATGTTAGTGTCAACCTTTTAACATGTGGAACTTATTAAACTCACACACGGCTCTTTTCCATTCACTATATTTAATACAGTTATCAGGAATATTGGATTTAAATGAATCTAATGTTACACATGTAATGTACGTCTTGAGCAGCCATCGATGAATTCCAGTTGATATGTCGTTAGTGATTGCTGGGTTTATTTATTTATTTATTACACCAGTCAGTCTCAGGCAGAGTGAAGTGTGACTTCACGCTGCTGCGTTAGCCTCACAAAGGCCATACATGATAATGGAAGGAGTCTGAGACGGTTATAAAACCGAAGAGACATTTTTAACTTAATTCATTTAATGCTTTTTTTTCTTCTGGACTGTGCCTGAAACAAGCACTCATGGAAATTGCGCACTTTGTCTTTTGGCAGAAGCGCCTGCTCTGCTCTGCTGTGTGTGTGCGTGTGTGTGTGTGTGCGCGCTCAGTGGGTGATGACAGAACTGCTTTGAATGGAGTGAAAATATCACAGGCTCATGCATTACATATCACAGATTTCTTACGGCACGGCTCAGTGGACGGTGTTTTAAATGGATCTTTTAATGACTGCCCTGTCCATAGAGAATCAGCAGACTCTTAACAAATAATTATTGGGGGGTTTAAGAGGAGAGATGGGATTTTGAGTGCTGCCACTGGAGATGAATGAGGTTTTTTTTTCGTTTTGGGTTTGTTTGTTTTTACACAATAAATAAAAAATTTGAAATTAGTACTTAAAATTACATTCTTGCCTTTTTTCTGTAATAAGCCGTTATTTGCATTCACAAAACCAACAACATGAAGGGTTTGAGATTAAAATTGAATTGGAAAACGTAATACGCAAACAAACATGTCATAACACTGTATGCTGAAGCGTGGCGTATCTGCTCACTGAACAGCTTTCATGGAGAAAACAATAGATGGGTATTAAAAGAAAAGCCACTCTATCTTCTTTATTCCTTCACGTCTAGAGCACAAACAATCCCGGGTCAAAGGCACGTTTTCACAGATCCCCTTCAGACTGTATCTACTGACAGGCTTTTCAAATGCAGATGAAATTCGTTTGCTCGTCTTTCTTCGCACCCTTATTTCCACTAGTGCATAATCCAAAATGTGTGTCACTTTCAGAGCGTATGGAGATTTAAGCGATTTAAAGGCAGCTCCTTAAAGTCTTCCATTTAAAATTCATTGAAAACAGATTTGAGAGAGATGTGCGCGTGGGGGGGCGGAATCAATTTGAAACGGTTATGAGTTATGAAAACAAATTCCACATTGATTGGCTCTCACACTTATCTTTCCCTGTGTAAACAAATAGTCCACAGGAGGAAAATGCAAATTGCATTAGCCTCAGCGTGGCTGAAGGTCAACATCAGCTGATACAATTATGGGCTGTTTAGGACAGCCATACTGCTTTGGAATAATGAAAGCAGCTATTTAAACATGAACAGCAGCTTTAATATTCCTCCGGTAGGGAAGCAGTTGGTACGGCAAACCCCAAGCTGCACTTGCTCAGACAGAAATATCAGTGCGCTTTCTTTCCTTCTTTCTTGTTAAATTTGAGACATTTTGACTCAAATTTGAAATCCTTGGATTTGTTATGAAAACAAAGACGATTCGCGTCATTAATCTGGCCTAAACACGGAGAGATGTATAAAATATCAACTGAATAACAATCAGTGTAACCTTGAATGAATTTTGTATCCTTAGCTATTAAATCCAACTGAAAGGCAACGTTTTAATAATGCAAACATGCTGAAAGTATAAGCAGAATAAATCAATGAGCTCATCCGCTGCATCACTGAGCTGCTTCTTTTTTTTTTGTCAGGCTCGAGTCTCCCACACGAACCCTGACCATGGAGGCTCCCAGAGGGGTGGAAGTGAGTGCCGCTGAAGGGTCGCTGAAGGTCAGCGGTCGCAAGGATCTACGGCTAGAGTCCACTGAAGGAGAGGTGAGGAGCATTCGTTTCTATATATGTATATCTATATATTTGTTTTAAATATTCTACCACAAGGCATGTGATATGAAGCAATCAAATGTGACTGAGTAGTTTTAGCTTTAACACAGGAGGAAATAAGAGACTTTTTTTATAGTCTTTCCATTTTCACAGACTTAAAGATCTGTCATTGTTTCTTTAATCATAAATTAAGGAACTCACAAGTCTGGAGTTGATTCCAAGTGTTCAATTTATATTCATGAAAAATGCAAATGCAGTATTTATTCAAGTCAAGAACACCGCTGTCATGATACTCCTGATGTGATATTATTGCGATTTTAAACGTTTTGCTATATGCTGAGTATCACATTAACATATATTGCGATTTATTCCCTTTTTTTCCAAACTTGGTCAGCATCTCTTTCTTTTACTTTGTAAAGTTCTCGCATTTCTGTCATTTTATTGCAGCAAAATAGAACTGTGAAGCAGACAGACTGACCAACACGGTCATTAACACCCATCAAAATGTTGCATGCACCTGACAGACTGAGCTGTTTGTGCTACATTGTGTTACATTGTGTGCGACTGAATTCAAATGTGTGGGCTGCTGTACTATTAAAGGTATTTTAAGCAGCAGTAGCCAGTCATCGGTGAGATAATGAGCCACATATGAATCCACAGCATGTAATGTCCAGATGTCTCAAGTTAATGCAACCCTTTGCTGTACTCACATTTATGCCTGACCTCTCTGTAGAGCCTGGGTACAGCTGTATCCATCAAAAGGTGTCACACACCTGGGTTCCAGTGCCTTGAGATTGGGGAGGGGAAAATGCTTCTTTTTGTCCTCCACGTAGTTGCACAGCCAGGTGTCCTTGAGTTTCTTGAAAGGCACCTATAAATATTTTCTTAGCTCTGAATTGGGAGGTAGTTTTGTCAGTGGTCCCAGTGTTGGTTGTTTTGTAGAGACAGCAGCCAGCAGTGAGGACAGAAAGTTTGCCAAAGTAAACTGTATGGTGGACCACCACGAAAACGTCTCTAATAATAAACCCAACCAGATACTATTTCACCTTCACAAACATGAACGTTTTCATGAAACTAACAAAGGCAACACGAACAAAGCTAAAGCTATTCAGAGCTCGAGCCAACCGCGAGCTAGGAGCCTCGGTATGAGCAAAGGATCAAGACTGTGATGAGGGGAAATTATGGAGACGAGTGAAAAAAAGAGAAAGGGGCTCATCTGGCGACTTTTTAAAAACACCCTAAAAGTGATGTAAGAACCTGACATTTGTTTTGTCGTGTAAATCTTTTGCTTTTGTTTGAGGTAAATATGTCAGGTAAAGGTGGATGTGCAGCAGCTCCCTTTTAATTAATTATTTGTAGCTGTCTCCAGTGTCAGAGCAGTTTTTCGGTTTCAGTGTGAGAGCACGTGCTGCAAAATCGAATAATTCATTTTAGTTTGAAGAATTTTATAATGTAGAAAATTAGATTTAGCAAAGATCACTATGAGCAGGTCACACATAGAGAATAACCGAAAATTTGCATCAGCCAAGCTAATGTTCATAGTTCTCCCAGAGTATTTTATGACACTCCCGTGTATTATATCCACCTCCTTTGTCCCTCCTTTTTTGTAAATCCAAACTTCTTTTTTTCTACAATGCTGCCATCTGTTTTAAAAACTTCCTCCCGTATGCCGATGTCACTTGGGGAAAAAAAAACACAAGATCACCATCTGTTGAACTGTTAAAGTAATTTCTTTTATTATTCTAGGGCTAAAAAGTTAGTATTGTCTTTGCAGATCATATAATAAAATATCAATATTTGATGGGTCTGTATCAATACAGTATTATCTCTCAAACTATTGCAGTACTCTGGCGTATCAGTACCCTCTGCCCTTGTTACCTGGATGATGGAAAGAGAGGGAAAGCAAGGACTAATTATCCAAAGCAAAGGATTCATTGTGATTGCATGTACGGCTACCTGTGGAGCTAGGTCTGTAGTATTAATTAGCTTCAGCAAGGAGGTTATGTGGTTTGTTTATTTAGTCTGTTTGTTAGCCGGATGACTCAAAAAGTTGAAGATGATTTGCATGAAAACTTGGCCAGAGCCTGGGCTTGGCTCAACTTATTTGTTTCAAATTTGTCATTTTACAAACTAGTCTAAATTCAGATATCCTTCTGGATCCAGGAACTCGTGCATGGTGCGGAGGAAATGATCAGCCTTGGCTGGGTTTTTGTAGTCTCTTGTTGTGAATGCTGATAAAAGAAGCAGGCTAAATTCTGGGCCGTGGCTCTACTTCCTGCTCAGATTCAGCCAAGTGCTGTAAAACGAAAAGGACGGTTTTTTACGGTGCAAATGAACAGTGACCTCAAACATCCCAAAACAACCCAAGAGCTTCAGAAGGCAAAGGATATTTAATGCTCTTAAATCGATGAGTCACTTGCTTGATTTTTTAACCCAACCGAGCCAGCTGTTCACTTATCTGAGACAAAAACTGAGCCACGAACGCTGAGACAGAAGGCAGCTGCAGTAAAGGCCTGGCAGCGCATTTAGTGATGTCATTGCTTTCAGACTGCAGGTGGTAACTGACTGCAAACAGTCTGCAACAAAGTCACAATGCAATCCTTATATTTATGAGTTTGTCCAGTTGCTTTGAGCCTGTGGATATGGTGGAAATGAAGTCGTTTTACTTTTCTGTTTTTCTTTTTAACATTTGAGCCTGGTGGTGGATGGAAACAGATCTCCAGAGTTCTAATAATGGTCGTTTAGAGAATTGTCAGTCACTAATTGGGAAATCTTGGCAGTCTGTTTAATAGTTGTTGAGCCATTTCAGTCTGAACCAAAGCAGCGACCCACCAACTGACACTCTGCTCTCTTGAGCCACTAGTGTGGCCAAAAAAACAAAAAGAGAGAAACCAATTTAATGTTCCAGGCCACCTTCACTGCTGATCTAACTCATCAGATCAGGACTGCTGTATCTCACTCCACCTGCTACTGTATTTACTGATTGTGCCACAGTCATTTATCAGTTCCAGTTGGTACTATATCACTCCAGGACACCCCTGACAGTGTTATTTGAATGACTTCCAGCTTGTCTCCAACGTTGTGTCCTTCCAGATACTTTTAGATGCCAACGCCGTTCAGTTTGGAGGCCTCCCGCTCGGCACCTACACAGCGTCGCCCAGGCAGGCCTCGCAGGAGCAGACCGTGTACGAGGTGTGCGTTTGTCCCAGTGGCAAGATCTACCTCTCTCCCGCAGAGAGCAGCTCCACCTGCCAGGCCATGAGCAACATCTGCCTCTGGAGCTGACCTGGGAGCAGCGGCGGTTGAGCGGAGACAGTTAGAACATCTGCTCTGGAGCTGCAGAGAGCGGGATGGGTCTCTCCGATGGTACAAATGACAGAGTGGGACACTGAGATGGAGCTGGTAAGAGAGACTGCAGTCAGGTCAGCACAGAAGCATCCAGGTTGCTACCTGCAGTGCGTTGAAGGAGGTCAGGACTCTTCCACCAGTGGAAGTCGCGGCGGCTCTCTGAAATCAGGAATATCCCACACGGAGAGGAGAGCCTCCATCTCCTTATTAGATTCAGAGGACACGACTTTTATTTTTCTACTCCAGGTTGAGTGCTGGCAGGCAGTGACTGTTTTTATGATAAGGAAGAAGAGGAGAGGTGGGGATGGATGAAACACAGGTGCCTTCAGCTTTAAATGGCTTCATTCTAAAACTGTCTGTGCAGCTGGAGTCAGACATTAGCTGTAATGGTAGAAAGTGGAGTAAGCACAATGATGTTTTTCCCTCTAAAAATCCCATAGACTGAATATAAAAGATGGACATAATCACTGCAAAGCTGCTAACAGGTGTGTGAAGCCTTGAGTGTAGCTTTTTGATGGTCACATCTTTGTTAGATCTAACAAACTGAGCAACACTGCACAAACATACAAAAAAAACTTGCTAACTACACGCATTACCCAGTTTGTCCTTGATGGCACCAATGGTGACGTTTGTTAAAGTAGCCCTGAAAATACTGATTGAGCCCAAAACATGACAGAAAATGGTTTAATGTGTTCATGAAGAGAGAAGTAGGATCATTTTCTCATACAGTCGAGCTTCTTTCGCAACAAGATGAGTCGCCCTCTGCTGGTCATTAAAGAAAATGCAGGTTTATCCATGTTTTATATGCAGTCTATGAAAAAATTTAGATTGTTTTTGTTTTTGAATGATCTCAATAGGTGTGTGTTTGTTTTCTACTCTGTCAGAGGCTGTGTATTAAACTTGTTTCTGTGTGGCACTCATCGTTCTTGACATTTAACTATTCCCCGAGGTTCAGGTGGACAGATTTCCAAAGACTTCGCTCTCTAAGATAACTGTGACATGACGTACTACAACTTTAGCTGGAAGACCGTCTCATTGAGAGTACACGTTTGGAGCGTATATCACATATTATGTGATATTCATTGTGTTGAAAATTAAGTTTAGCTGAATCGAGGATAACTTAAACTACAAAGAATGAACATCATGTGATCAAAAGCTCCAGAACAGCAGGTCAATGGACCTTGTGGTAAGTGTTTCTTTGACATTTGTTCAATGACAGGGGAAAGTCCCCCGATTCTCGAGTACTACAGCGCCACCAGTAGGGCAGAAGTTGAAAGTGCATTTAAGTCGTACTTCACAAAAAAATTAGGTGTGGTTGGATAACTTGCATCAAGCCAATTTCAAAGCACCCTATTAAGTCAGTTTCTGCCATACTGAATGTTGTTAAAGCATTTAATACACCGGGCACGTTTGTTATTTTCCCCAAGTCAGCACCAAAGAAGGCACAGACCATCTTCAGATTAAGCCTCACAAAAGCTGAAATTAGTGGCAAAGTTGACAAACAAGCAAAGCCGTGTACCATCAAAGCTGCGATTAGTCTAAACTAAACTCCAGACAAATGCACGTTGGGTGACTTAGTGAATCAAAATTTGCTGTAGACGTGAGTGTGGATGGTTGTGTGTCTCTCTGTGTGTTTGCCCTCTAAGACAAACTGGTGACCTGCTCAAGGCGTGCCCCACCTTTCCTGCTATGACAGCTGGGATAGTCTCCAGCTTCCTGCGACCTTAAATTAAACAAGTGTTTAAGAACGTGGATGGATGGAAATGTATTTAATAGTCATCTCAAGGTATTTTATATAATGCATGCTGTACACCTTAACTGATATTCACTATCTTGCTTCTTTCTTTTTAGGTCTTGAGGCTCAGCTGGTACTCCAGTGTCCTCTTTCATACTGGTGGATGCTGTAGGTAATACTCAAGTACTACCAGACTTACAAAACTCCAAACTAACCCTTTAAGTTGCCGTGCACGTGTCATCTGTGTGGCCGCTGCAGCTTTGTCCCACAGGGTGTGTGGTGCACGTTTAGCAATGACATGTGACAGACAAAAACCTAAATTATATTATTACATTTAATTTAAACATACCTGTTTATTTAAGGTCAGTAAATGATTTGCAGACTGTATTTAGGTTCTCTTCTCTCGTGTGAAATATCTCTGGCTGAAGAAAACGAAAAGCCAGAGAAAGACACAACATGTTATCCACCAGTACTTTCATAGCTGTGATGCTTTAGCTTCTCTGCAAGTATCAGAATTCTTTCTGAATACATTTCTGCTGTCTGTTGCATTGCAGCTCTTTAACATTTTAGCCACATTTTCTTGCAGAAGGTTTGTGCATTTTCCACTCTGCATGAGAGACTATAGGGGCTTGTGTTATAGGGTGATGTCATGGTGCAAAGCCTCTATAGATTGGACGAATTACACCCAGAAAAATGCATAACGGCGCTGCACCCACCCGGTTAATCGGAGCCAGCCTAGAGTTTTATTCTTATAAATTGCGAGACAAAAAGGGAAGTTTTTGGAGTACTTCCGATGACACATCCAGTGAAGGGGGGAGGAAAAAAACGCCCTGCTTTTCCAGCCTGTGGCCTGGAGAGGAATGAACAGCAGTCTGAAAAAGCAGCAGAAACGATTCAAACCTGCCTTTTAACAGACGCCGCTACCTCTCTTTTTCATAATTCTCTCTGCCCGTAATGTTCGTCGTGCACGGGAGCAGGAGCATTATAAAACCTTTTTTCTCTGCCACAGGCAGTCTGAACAGAAGAGGCAGAGGAGAGTGTTTAAGGAGCAGGGTTAAGAGCTGATATTATCGAGCCCGCTGCTGTACATTCACGGCTGGGTGCACTTCACACGTTTTCTGCCTCTAATTAGGTCCAAAGTTGCCATCAAGGAACCCGATTGGTGTCGCAGGAACTCTGTGGCTGCTGTATTTTAAAGTCTCGCTTTTCAAGAGGGGCTCTGCGGCAAGCAGGTAGTTAGACGATTCACACAATTAACACCGCAGGCCCCTTCAGAAGTCGCATCAAATCTCCAAACTAATAACTCGTTCCCCTCCACCTGTAAGAATACATAAACCCCGTATGAAGGGAGTAGGGTGACAGGTGAGAGGAAATCTGTTCACATTGGGGAGTTGAGTGTTTTCGCTCCCGGCTAAAGACGGCCTCTTTGCATTTGTGATCATGCTGAAGCATTCATTTGACTCAAACACGCACCATATGCTTAAGACCTCTGAGAGTATCCCTGCTTTGGATTCACACCTTCATATGCATATCAGTTAAGAAGCTCAGTGTGGGTATTTGTTTCTGATCCCAAAGGGAGGGGGAGGCTTGATTGTTTGGCGTGCCGAGCCAGAAAAAGTTCAGATTTTATCCTCAGTTTGTGCTTCTGTTCAGATCTGTCCAATTCATACACCTGTTCAGAGCTTTTGCTGATGAGATGCCATGTTGTTAAAATGCCAGCTTTTTTTCTTCGTCTTCTTCGTGCACGTGGCTCTCTATTCACAGGTTGAACGCATCTTGCCAAGCTTTCTGTTTCACTCCTGTCTTTGAGTAAAATATTAAGCACACTCGTAGCACGATGCGATAGATTTGTAGAGCACTATACCTGCAGTCACCCACGTAACAAAATGACTCAAAATTGAGGCTGCAAAGAAAAGTCAGTAACACAAAACCGTGGTGTTTATTAGAGTGGGTGTGTATTAATGTTTCCAGTGGAGAAAGCATGTTTAATGATGGCAAATGTTGAAGCTGCTGTAGCTCCAGGTGCTACAAAGGAGGTGTGTGGTCCATGATTGTAACTCCATGTGCCATAAGGGTGAATTTATAAAATATAATTTGTCAGGATTTTTTTCCAGGCTGGAACACCATTTACTTCTGGCTCACATTTTCATTCGCTTGATTTTGCTGCCATCTATTGGCTGATATAGGTCTCACATTTACAGCTCCCTGTTCAAAGCTGGATTACTGCCTGAACACAAAGGGCACATGTCCCGAGAGCCACTCCCACAGTTTACTGAGAGCTAATTATTTTTGATTTAGTTTATTGTAGACATATGCACTGATCACATATATTTAATTACGTAAGTCCTGCTCTAAATGTTCATCAAGAGCTCCATCTTATGTGCACATTTTCCAAGTTTGACATTTACCTACGCCCACACACCAGCGCAGTTTTCAAGAAAAATATAAATTAGTCTTCAATCCAAATGTAATTGTTTTCATTCTTTTTCTTTTACTTATCCTCATCAGGGTCATGGGCAGGCTGGGGCCTATCCCAGCTACCACAAGTGGGATACACCCTGGGCAGAAACGTGGATTTCAGTATTCTGATTTACCAAGATTTCTGCATCTCCTGGAATGGGCTCCATCCAATTTTGGCACTTTGACTCATGTTTAGGGATGAACTGATCATGTTGGTCAAAGCGTCAGGTGACTTCACAGCAAAACAAAAGTTTAAGGCCGATTATGACAAAAGTTCAAGACATGAGCCAACAGGGTGAGTGGGTGCCCCATCACCATGGTGGTTAGCACTGTTGCCTCACAGCAAGGTCTTGGGTTTGAATCCACTGGCTGATGAGTTTGCATGCTCTCCCCGTGTCTGGGTTGGTCTCTCATGACACTTAAGACTTCCTCCCAAAGTTCAAAAGTATGCAGGTGTAGCCTACCTCTCACCAGCAACAGTCTTCAGCACAACTACAACCCTGTATGGGATAACTGGAAGAAGACTGCTTTGACTCTTTGTCTCTACTTATGAGTTTGAAAAATGACATTTTGCTCTGATCTTGGTGTTCCACCGTTTTTCTTGTGTGTACCCGCTGTAAGGAAATCTTTTTAGCGAGATATTTTTCTGTTTCATTTTCACCTGTTTGGATTGCAGATGGTGTGATTTGTGTAAACAATGCCCTTCTGTAGGGGGGAGCTGGAATAGCCGTAAATGTGATGTCAAGATCAAGACCTGATTCACACAGATCTGGTCCACTTCTACACTTTCAATCACATCTGTAACAGGACACCCCACTACAAGCTTTCTCCAGAAAGGTCCATCTATGCCCCATGAAGTTAGTTCATATCTTTAAAAAGAAAAAAAAAAGAAAAAGAAAGAAAAGGATGATGCAGGAGTCCAGAGTATAAAGAAACTTTAATTGTTGGATTAAGAACAACCGTCACAATTTGAGGACTTATATATTTTAAAAAAGAAATGTGCAATGGCATTTCAACCCTTGAGGTTTTTCATTTAAGACACGTTTCAGGTAAACATAAAACTTTAGGGATTCCTGCTGCTTAACATGTTTAAAAGAAATTATGTAATACTGTATTTGATGACCAATGTTACTTGCATCACTCAAATTGTCCACGGAACAACTTTTTAATTAACACTCAAATGTACTTATTTACTCAAACAGACTGGTGTGCTTAGCTGTAAGCCTGCTCTGCAGTCTTAGACTAATCCGCAGACTTTAAATAAACAAATATGTAAATTATATACTGTTTTTTTCTGAATACTAACATTTAAAATACATACCCAACCCTTCCATGTAAATTGTCAGACTGAAAATTTTGGCAACATGAAGCGTTTGTTAACATCTGGATTCATCACCTTACAATAACACGATATTTTCAGACATAACTTACGGTACCAGGTAATTTTACATAAAGCTATTACATCAGGAGAACCTGTAGATAGTGTTGATTAGTCTGTACTGGACAAGAAGTATTTATTGAAAACAACATTCAGGCCAAGTAGCAGCTGGGTCTTCATTCAGTAGTCCCCTCTGTGGTCGGGGATGGGTTTCTAAGGACGTACTGTCCTTTGGTTGTTCTCGTTGTGCCTGCAATAAAAACAAAACTACATTTTAGGTATGAGTCACTTAAATCTAGCAGTTTAAACACATAATCGCATTATAATCCTGCTATTTATGTGTTGGATAATTAAATAGCTTGCTCCTTTATGCCAGGGAATAAAGTTTTGAACTATTCCTTTAAACTCTTGGCCCATTTTCACACATTAAGTCTCATCCTGGCAAGATGGTGTCCCCAGGTGTCCTTTTCTTATGTAGCTTTCAGCAGGACACTTCCAGTAATCACACTGACACTGACACTCTCTCACTACTTAAAGTACTCTGTTTGGTTCAGGTGAGAGAGCCGCCCGGGTAGAGCGAGCAGGAGGCAGCACAGTCAGAGCTGTGAAGTCTGGTATGAAAGGACTCACCTCACGTTCTAATCTGGCAGGTCATCAGCTCTCAGGGCAGATCTGGAAATACCCAAGCCTGCAGGAATCCTGTCCGGATACCTGACAGCGAGCTTGTTGTGATTCAGCTCAAAGCCCTGACGAGTGAACACAATACTAGTTTAGTGGGTGGAGGAGTAACCTGGGCACGTGACAAAGTATTCACCAAAATCACAGAGAGACGCGTGACCGTGTGATAAGAGTTACACATCAACAACGCATTCACAGCATGATCCAGACAGTTTCAGACGACTCAAACAAAAACTAGACCGACACAAGTGTAGAAAAAAAACTGGCCTATGGAGATTAGGAAAGGGGGCACACATAAAGATGAACCCCTAAAATGCAAAATTCAGGGCTTGAAGCAGGGCAGATTTCTGACCCTGGAGATTGATGCACTTCTTTGCCTGCAGTCTGAATTTTTATTATTCATATTTAGTTGAATAGATAAATGACAAATTAAAACTCCTTTCATAAATTCAAGGGCTTTTGTAGCTTCGGTGTCTCAGGGAGTTAAAATTTAATGATACATTAAAGAATCTAAAGCGGCCCCGCTTCCTGGATTTCCGCCAGACAGCCATCCTGCAAATTACAACAGCGACTGCCTCTCTGCAACTTCACAAACAGTACTATGGAATTGCGACACAGTACCACAATAAAGGATGCACTTACATGAAAACGTCGGATTGCTTCATCACAATGTTCTTGTTTTGTATAGTTAACAAAGGCACATCGTTTGGCAGTCAAAACCTTGACGCTATAGACGACCCCGACCCTGCAGGACAGGAGTGTGTAAAAAAACAAAACAAAGTTACCATAAAAAGTGTCTCACTACACTACAGCAATGCAGAGCTATTTACTTTTATTACATAACAAACCCTAGAACTCCACTACAGGCTCTTACTTGTTAAACAGGTTTGCAAGCATGGAGTCAGTTACTGGGAAATTCAGGTTTCCCACCCAAACTGGAAACAGCTCCCTGTTGAAAGAAGACACCATTTAAAAAACAATATACGACCTATGCACAAGGTCTGTTTTGGGGATAGCTATACAATAATTTATAATATGCACAGTAAACAGTTAAAAAAAAAAAAAAAGCCTAATGACTTTCTGCTTTAATGATTTCCTGGGATACACCGTCTGATTAAAGGTGAAAGAATACCAATAAAGTACCTTGTCTGTTGACTAATTAAATTTTGCAATTACAAAAACAGCTCAAGAATCAGTTGGTTTTTGGTTTGTTTTTTTATATTAACCTTCCTGTCTCGCCACATATACCCACGCTGCTTCTGCTTCATGTAATCAATCCACCTGTTTACACTAGCTGTGGATGAAGTGGTGGTTATGAAGTTTGTGAGGCTGTGCCATTTGAGGTCATTATTATCCAATTGGAAACCAGTAAATCAGCAATAGTAACACAAAGGGCCATTTTTGAGCTAAAATATCAAACTCTGCTTTTGTTTTTTAGGCATAGATTCAATCCAAGTAGGGCTGCCACAAACAATTTTGATAGTCGACTAGTCACCAATTATTTTTGCGATTAGTCGACTAATCAGATCACGTACGTACTGATTAGTCGCTGTACGTTTTACGTCCATTGGATGTTTAGCTTATTGCACCAGCCTACATCTGCTCTTATATAACTATCATTAGCTTACAGCTTTAAGTGTTTAAGGTGCTAACTAAAAATAAAAACAAGATGATAGTTTATTAAATTTTAATGAAATTTGCAGATTGTTTCGGTGAAGTTTAATAAACTCCTTGCTATCTAAAATATAACAGGACACCGGAGTAAATTCTGGAGCATCTCACACTTCTGATAATCAGCTGTCTGCTTGTCGTTTATTCAGCTGTGTAAAAACTATAACTTTAATCTCAG